GTCTAGAACAAGAATATTAGTTCTTAACTCTTATCTAGAACAAGAATATTGTTCTCAATATTTGAAATAGAAGAAAGAACTAAAAAAGCAGAATCTTATATTTAAAAGTATTGTATTGTAAATTGTATTATGAGGTATGTACTTTTGAAAATATAGGAACATCTCTGAACCAGGGGCGTAAGAGAGAATTTGTGTAGGGGGGGGGGCAGATAGATTGTGCCCCCCTTTAAAAACCTCTTTTAAAAAAAAAATATTGATACCTTTTTTAACTATGTAAACTATTCGATCATATACACACTTCCATACAACAACTGTTAGTAGATTATTTATGTGTGCCCCCCCCCCACGTACGCCCCTGCTCTGAACTTTCTTATTATAATTGTTTTATGTACATTGTACAGCTCTTATGAGGATTAACAATAAAAAGAACAGTATTAGACCGAGGAGCTTGAAATAGAATAAAAATCTAAACTCTAAAACATAAAAAAATGAATTTAAGATTTCTTTTAGCAGTAAGAAAACTTTATCTGATCTAAAGTTGTCTTAAACTTTAATTGAAAAATTGATTCTAAAATTTTCTTCAAAATTTTCTTCCAGTGTAAGGTAATGTTTTTTCAATAAGGGATTAATATTTTTTATCTTCGATTTAAATGGAAAACCAAACACTAGAATTTTCTATTTCCACTAAAAAATATTTTATATTTTTGCAGAACATGTAAGAATGTTTAGAAAACAAGAAAATTTTGCGTTTTTATCGTGAAAGGAAGTGTTGACTTTTAATACTTTTAAAAGATAAGTACAGTTTATGCTTCTTAAATTCGAATGTGGATAGTTTGAAAATGGTTGATAAGTGAAGGATAAGTGAAGGATAAGTGAAGGTCAATGATTGACGATTGATGGTTAATGGATGAAAAAGAAAAAAAGCATTTCAAATGAAAAAAAATATGATTATATTTACCTTCATATCTATGATTTTGTTTGTCAGTTTGTCCTGGATGGAGATTTTTTCATTTGTGTCATCTAAATGTTTCTAGATACCAAAAACTTAATAATTGTAAAAAATTGGGAATTCTGAGAAATAAAAAAGGAAAAAAATACTTCCTAAAAATCAGAGCTTTGAATCAATTCTAATAATCATCAAATTAAAAGTGCCCGCAATGAATATCAATTAATCAAGGAAGATATATAAAATCTCATTATTTGACAATGACACTAAATATTTGTTGTTTTAAGGGCAATACCTATTTTTGTTTTGACATTTTGATATTTTTACACATTGGAACTGTAATTCCTCACATATTTGCAATTTAATTTCAATCGAATTCTTTTGAATATTAAATTTTTCCTTTGTGTATTCAAGTTTTTCTCTCATCAATTCATATTTCCTCATCATTTCTTGCATCATCTTTTGGGAGGTTTCCGCCCTTAACATTTAAACTTGTTTTAACCAACCGGTGGCCGAATTTAAAGAATTTGAGCGGCGGTTTAAATTTAAGCCGCGGTTTAAATATGGTTGGTTCCACTTAAAATTGTATCAAATGTTTCAAGATTTAAGCCGGCGCTTAATTTAAACCGGGTTTTGGCGGATTTAAACCGCGGCTCAAATTCTTTAAATTCCATCTCAGACCTCTCTATTTCTATCAGCCAATCAGGGCAGAAGTTTTGTATTAGCCAATCCGAGCTATTTATTTGGATTATTTCAGCCAATCAGTCTTCAGAGATCTGATTATTTTTATGAGCCAATCACAGGGTAGAAAAAAATAAAAATGCCGGAAACCTGAGTCTAGCAGCTAGTGCTTGTTCTTCTCTTTCCTTTGCCATTCTGTTTGCAGCTTCATTTCGCGCCAACTCTCTCTCTAGGTCCTCTTCCATCAAGGCCTAAGATTAGAAAACGATACTTTTGATTGTCTTTGCATGTTTCTTTAAAAAGAATAATCAGTGGTTTTGGAGCCTTTATCTGAAAATTGGCCTTGTTTATGAATCTGTGATAAATGAAGATGCCATTTTTTTTATCAAACTATTGGAAAAGTCTTGTTTTTGATATATAGAGAGTCAACATTTTAGAAACAAACACTGTAAAGCACCTTAAAAAGGGCAAAGGAACTGTACCCAAGACCTGTAAATTGCCAATTGCCATGCTTTACTCCTTTAAACTGTACAGAATTGATTTAACATTAAGAACTGAGTGTTTCAGTATATACTATTACTGTTATACTGCACTGTACAATGTACATTGTACAATTTGTAAATTGTACATACCTGTGCAATATTTACACTTTGCAACCCTGAGCTAACTCCCCGCTCCTCCGGCATTTTTTTTTATCTAATAATAGTCTGAAAAAAAATATTCAGTATTTATTCCATTTCCTCAAATGTGAAAGGTACGTATTTACATAATCTTTATGTTAAAAAAAAGTTTACAGAGCAAAAACAATTTTAAAATTTTTGTTAAAATTCTTCAGTGTTAAACTGATCTTGAAATCATTGTACATATAGCTTTCACAGAAGCAACAATTTGGTCTTGCTAGGCGCTTCTAAAAGTATTCAGAGATACAGGGTGAGAAAGAGAAAATGGCAAACTAGAGAAACTTTAGCCAGGGGTGTATTTGATGGGGGATATACACCCCTGTACACAAATGGAAAAGAAAAAACGGAACTGCAAGTAACACTGAAGGCCCGCATTAATCTTTTAACGCTTTTTTAACCTGGAGAATGGAGGTTTTTTTACCTAGCTGGACCCAGATTTTGCTACTCACAGCTTTAAATATACTGCTTAATAAGAAGAAACATAGAAAGTTGAATCCTGATAGGATGTGCACCATGCACTATGATACTGGTTTATACTCTGCCGGCTGGGAGGAAAAGATTGCTGTATTCTGAAGTACTGTCCGAGATTAATTAATATCCACTCCTTACCTAACCTTTCTTATTCCATTTGTTTTGAGACCAATTCTGGCTGCTTAAAATATCCTAAAGTATTATTGACCTCGACATAATCCCGTTATAGGGTTACAATTGGATTTAAGGACAGTCTAGAATCTCTCTCTCACAGAATAAAGAAGTCCAGGAACTGTTCCAGAGATGGGTTCAATATGAACAGATTGAACTAATTTATTTTAATTAAATGTACTATATATATATATAGAATTGACGAAAAAATATGTACAATATATTTACGATAGTTTAAAATCTTTCATCACTCAAAATATGCGAAGATCAAAAAGCTCATGCTATAAAAGAATTTCGCATACATGAAGATATGAAGATCTATATTTATAAGCTCGATGAACAAAAAGAACATCTTATTCCGATACTCTTAAATCTTTCATAACTCAGATATACGAAAATGTTTAGGTAACAAATCAATATTAGATCAAAAAACAAGGATAATAAGGACTCAAACTCAGCTTTGAATAATTAAATAAACAATATATAATCTGTATATTTAAAATTCAGTGATGGTGATGGACCAAACCTCTGTAGAGTAAAAAA